CACTCGTTCTTTTGCTTTTGTTATTTCTGACAATGGACAGCGGTACGAGATAAAAAAAGTTAAAAAAATTGTGACGGTGCTCTATCAGTTTTCTTCTTTTTAGCATGTCTGAAAATACTTCCCAACTGGTTGCTCTTTTGAGGTTTACGTTGGTCACGTTTTACTGCCAAATTAATTTGCCTACTTATATTATAGAAGATTACACGAGCAACCACATCTAACTTTTCTAGTAAGGGGCCCGAATAGTCTTTGGTTATTGGCTCGAGCATACCAGCGAAATCATTTTTGCTACTACAATTATTCTTCACAAAAGCGGTTTAACAGAACCTGTTTGCCAGATTTTGGTTGTGCGAAGCTACATATGTTATCTTTTAAAAGTACACAAACTTGCCTCGATGCAAAATCTAAATATCCGAAACCTCATTGGACTGAAAAGTATGGCCACGTCTTGCGGTTCTCATAAACGTTTGAGAACCTCCATCGAAATAATCCCTTGAAAGTGACGAAAAGCCATACTCTTAACAAGCTGTCGATCACTAGAGCTGAAAAGGCATTCTTTTTATCCATTGGTAGTATCCTTGCAGTAGATTTATAGGCAAAGTGAGTTAGAGCCCATCACCAAATATGTAGGTTAAGCAATCTAGGTATCATTGCTGACTTAGCGTCACGCGATTATTTAATATTCGCATTCCACGGAATTTTTGCAGGCAGCGTGCTCACTTCCTTTTTGGTCGAGCAATTGATAGCAATCATCGTAGGTGCATCTTCTTCTGACGTCTTCAATTATATACGTTGGTTTTGTACAGGAGGTGACGCTGTTCATGCAAGTTGGGTAAGTGTTTCAGCAAAATCGCGATTCAGTCGGTAACCGGCCCAAATGCATCCATCAAATCTCCCAGTTAATACTAAACAAACTTCACTTACAGATGGCTACCAGAGCAGAATTAAACATAATATTTCTTTGGTTAGAAACGACAAATATTTTAAGAAATGTGGAAACCTTGAAAATCCGACGATTCTTGTCATCTGAGTGAAATAAATGTATAGAAGTACATAAAGCATGTCCAAGGAAACAAGTCAGCACCTGAAACAACAGAAGCTAGAAATACAACTTAAATAGTTGTGGTCGTTTTTTGTAGATAGTCATGAAGGAAAGGCGAGAAATTACTTGAGACCCTCGGCTCCTTTCCCATCCAAGGGGATATTAAGGGAGTTCACCCGTATAATTTTCAGCAAATCGTTCGACATACAATGTTGAAGTAAAGGAAAGCAACTAGCCTGGGAATAGGGGTACTACTAGTAAACAGTCCATCCATGGGAAAAATTACAAATTATTTGAGTTCGCAGGAACAAATGCGACAAATTTCTCATATTACATGTTTCCACCCCAGTGTTAAACTGTTTTAATGAAACAGGATAGCTTGATCGGTACGAATAACGAAGCCCGCAACGACTCGTGGGATGGATCACCAATCACCTGCAGGTAGACGTATTTTTGTAGTGAGATAGGCTTGCGCAGCATCTACCTTACGCTCGTTCGCTCCCCCTCTCACAGTCAACGACTTTCGATAGCAAAACAGAAACAAGACAACGGGAGATGGGCGTAACCGTGGTTGCTGACAAAGCTGTACACAAAAATTTGCCCTTGCCTCCGCGCGCATCTGATTTAATTCACCAAGGGGCTCCGATTCACATAAAAGACTGCCACAATCCCCAAATATGCTGAACGTTCCTTAGTCAAGAT